TAAAATTATATATATATATATACGTAAATTAAAACGTCCTTCCGAAGCGGGCGATGGGATTTCAATTCCGGCTACCGACAGCTTCTTACGGGCGACCCCCCCAAACAATCTCTTTCTTTCTTTTTTGTGTCGACAAGACCTTGCTAATATCATAACGTTCTTCTTGCTCAAATATTTGTTTCTCAAATTTCAGAACAAGAAAATCAAAACAAGAGAAATAATCATTCAAAGCACTCGAAAGAAGTCAATATGCCTCTTTGAATAGAAGTCAAAAAAATTATGGAAACGTAGTTAAATTGGCTAATTATTTCAATTATATAATTACTTGTTTAGCATTTATCTAATTAATAGATGAAGAATAGATAGACTGGGTCATTTCTTGATAAAGGTTTAAGCCACATTTTTATAGTATTGATAGACAGTGAAGGCCAATAAAGAATGAATAGAGGGCTCCAAACCATAAGTACGTGCTCCCCCCCGCCCCCCCCCCCCCCAAAGTGTTTGGATTTTTGGTTGTTAATTTCCAAAAAATAAAAAAAAATCAGTTCTATTTTACATTCAAATTAAAGCATTGAAAAATCAGTTCTATTTTACATTCAAATTAAAGCATTGAAAAATCAGTTCTATTTTACATTCAAATTAAAGCATTGAAAAATCAGTTCTATTTTACATTCAAATTAAAGCATTGAAAAATCAGTTCTATTTTACATTCAAATTAAAACATTGAAAAATCAGTTCTATTTTACATTCAAATTAAAGCATTGAAAAATTTTGCATGAATAACTGAAATTGTGTTGCTTTGTGTGAAAAACCTGAGCACGTGCATGCATGTATAGCGTTCCACTCCCCACCCCCCCCCCCCCCCCCCCCCCGCCCACAAAGTGTTTGGATTTTTGGTTGTTAATTTCCAAAAAATAAAAAAAAATCAGTTCTATTTTACATTCAAATTAAAGCATTGAAAAATCAGTTCTATTTTACATTCAAATTAAAGCATTGAAAAATCAGTTCTATTTTACATTCAAATTAAAGCATTGAAAAATCAGTTCTATTTTACATTCAAATTAAAGCATTGAAAAATTTTGCATGAATAACTGAAATTGTGTTGCTTTGTGTGAAAAAACTGAGCATGTGCATGCATGTATAGCCTTTTATTTTTTATAACTGCAATGGAAAAAATTCAAATTGAAAAATAAAATTTGGGTGCATCAAATCAGCACAAGTATGGATTCCACTTGGAGCACAAACCATTTTCTTGTAGAATCATCCAACAGATCATCATTTTTCCCTGAAATCCGTGAGCTTATCGTATTTCCAGTATTCCCTCCATTTGATTTTATGGGAGGAACAAAATTACCACGAAATCCACGTCGAGGAAAACCACCAGACCTCATGCCATAATTTCTTGCTATTCCTGTCAGATTAACCTCTCTTAGAGGAGACGTAGCAGGATTTAAAGAGTCCCTACCACCATGTTTTTGCCTGGCATCCATTTCCTGGAAAAAGAGCACATTTCTGTTATAATTTGAATAAACATTTCAAAACAAAAACAGTTAGAAATAAAGTTATTTCCTCTAATGAGTACAAAATATCCTAGAGGAATGCATGATACAAAAACAAAATATTGATGAACATAAGAAATATGTTCTCGGTACAATTTTGCAAGCCAGTGCAAAAAATGACAACCCTTAAAAGTTCAAGAGATTCATTATGCTACCTAAAAAAAATATGAAAGAAGAATGCAAAGATAATTATGCAAATGCAATAGGGCAGATGCAATGCAATTTTTTTTCCTCCAGTTAGAAGACTGTAAAAATTTAACAGGTACCAAGCTTCATTACCTAGATAAATTACCAGTAAGGGCAACCTATTATCATAATTTTTGAAGAACAATATGTTGTGTTAGCAAGAAACAAGAAAGAAATTCTTGTGAACATATGAAAAAGGACTACATTTGAAATCATTTTTCGGATTTTGGTGGTACTCAAATGTGAATAAACTTTAAAGTCAGATTTAATATGTTTCAGATGGTACAAAATGCACTTAAAAAGTTCAGTAAATTTGGCCCCACCACAATATACCTATTTTGAAAGATAAAAAATAAATTAATGCAACTATATAAGGAGATAGATGTATATAGATAATGCATCCAAACGTGCATCTAAATATGCAAGCATGCATTGTACGTGGGTGTGTGTTTCTATGTATGACAAATTTCAAGTTGAATCAAGCAAATCAATCTCAACTTGTACTCAAACATATTTTCAAGCAAGGTTGTTAATGCTCAAAGTGCAATGCAATGCACTAAGGGGTTTTCACCTTAAAGCGTGAAGTTCAAACAAAACAAATGCTTCAATTAATTGAAACACATATATAAAAAGAAACATTATATAGAAAAAAATGTCAACATAGACCCTAAACTATTTATATGTGGCTATTTTAGTCCAAAGCTATATATATATTGTCAACTTAGTCGCTTCTCAAATATGATATAGAGTAATCTCTCTATTGAATTATTTTGGATCAAAGTTAATGAGTCAATGGAAAATTTTGGATCATTTTTGAGTATTAAAGGAACTAAATTGGATATATTAAGGCCAAAGCAGTTCCCAAAAATGGTCCGGAGACTATTTTGACTACTTTTCTCCATTGTGTTATATTAACTATTTAGCAACCATCTATGGTGTAAAACAAAGATTAACAAGAATAATTATCAATAACTAGTAAACAATAGGGCACACATGTGATGTATAAATAATGAACAATATTAACCCATCATTGAACTAATACTCTTCTTCAACCAAGGTGAAGAAGAACATGCACCTTGCACATTTTACCAAAGTGATGATGAAACAAGCACTTTAACTAGGTTTTATAGTATAAGACCAATTAATTGTAAAGTTGTACATAACCTTACCACGTACTCCGAAATGCACTTAAATCATGCACTTCTTTAAGTTTTAACAAGCATAGTCTTAGGTCAGGCTTCTGTCTATTAATTGAAAATAACACATAACTTGGACTTGATCAGAGGTTCATGAGGAGCGAGTCTTTCAATTTCCAAATATTTTATCAGCCATATCAATGTCAGTATAAGTTTCTCAAAATTATAAGGAAAAATAAGGTAAAAGTCATTAAAATAAAACAAGTTCTTATACTATGGATATCTAACTATAGTTTCCATAGGAAAATTGGATCTCAAAAAGGTAATCAGGTTTTAGGTTGTTCTTTGTTTCACATAACTCGTGCAAAGCTCAAAAGATTACACTTACTTCCACTGATCCTCAATTTTTTTATGAACTGGAGTTAAAACATGATAACAATGGTGGCAAAAGCCAATAAAATGACATAATAATAATTTATATTATTAGATGAAAGATTCTAGAGGGAAAACATTAGAGGAAGGTAGATTCTGAAAAGACAGGAAAATCAGAAATAATGAATTATGATTAAAAATCACGAAGGTCGGAATGAGATAAGAATAGCTTGAATAATAATGGCATCACATTAGAATAAAAAAAGTACCAATTTTGCTCTTGCTGTAACAAATCCATTGCCAGTGGGATCTGCATTGGCTTCTTCACAGTCTGGTGGGGATTTAACATTAGCACATATTGGACTAGTAAATTGTGTGTATTTGCGTTTGGCTTTCAGTGTAATGGCAAGAGTCTTTTCTTCTTCCTCAGTTTGCTGGCCAGTGTCATCAGCATCCTTGACATGATTGCAGCTCTCTGAATGTTCGTTTTCAACATCAATAAACTCCATAGAAACGCAATCTTCAGAATTTAGTTGCCTTTTGTCATGTTTTAGATTCAAATTCATGGAATTGACCCCATAAACAGATGTAATCTTCCTCTGTGTCGTCAGTTTAGATGTCCTGATGCTCAGCTTTTCATGTTCCTTATCAGATTGGATATCCAGTAGTTTCTGTTGTGCCTGGGTGTCTAAACCTAAACTGGTATCGGAAGATGTGCCGTATATCTACATGATTAAAAGTACAAAAGAATGCAAAATGGTTAATAAAGTCATTGTTAACACTATTTGCAAAGAAAAACCTCTAGACTAATGCCTTTTGAACCGATAAAAAATGACATTTTAGTTTCCAAGTTTTAATGAATAAGAGAAAAAAAAAGTTTAATTTAGTAGCTTACAAGATTGACAAAACAAAATTGAGCAAAGCATATCAGCATTAAAAGTAGTAATAGGAATCAACAATTTCATTTTAATATATTTTACCATTCGATCATCGTTATTTCCTCTAGGCATCCGTAGAAAATCTTGAAATTGCTTGGAGATTATAATATTCTGAATGTCTATATCGCCACTTTTAACAAATATATGACCTACATCTCTTCTCGCATGTTCAAATGCCTGGCTGGATTAATAAGTTTCCATGTGTTAGAATATAATGAAATCAAGCATATTAAAGCATGACAAGAGGGATGGATTAGCTTCTAAAAAATAATACTTCAAATAATACAAAACGTTCAAAGCGAATGATTTTAGATTTGCAGCATTACTCCTTGCCAAGTAGGGGCTGCAAAGCATAAACTAACTTAACGCCGCATGTATCTGGAAAGATTAAATAGACTAATTAAAGATCGCTTCCATCCCACTGCCCGTGTTTCAAAAGTGCATCAATCAAAAGCACTTTTCTACTCAAACTAACGTTCCTACATAACTTAGAACACAGGATATAATAAGCTTATCATAAATCAACAGGAGGAAAAGACGAAAGAAAGATCAAAACTACAAGTATTCCAGAAAATGAGGTGAAAAACACTTTCCATCCCTCAAAAACATGCTTGCCATCACTGCACGGGAAATTCTCATGGTTTTCTAATATGAAAAATCAAATTCGAAGTTTTTCAGCAAATTTCTCGCGACTGGGTGGTATTCAAATTGCATTCTATATTATTATTATTTAGTTATTTTTTATTATTTTGCAGTCATTTCAACAGCGGCTTAATACTAACTAGGGTTATACCAAAACACCATTGCATGAGCAATAGATTACTTAAATATGGGTTATAAGGATATTAAAACTGAAGGGTGGAAGCGGGTAACCATGGCTTCTACAAGCTACATTAATAACGATGGTATGTTCGTTTGAATATAAAAAAATTCGTGTCAAATATAGTGAACTTGATGAGGGATTACAGATTGGAATCCGGAGCGAGGGCTCGGGAAGCAGCAGCGACTCTCGATTGCACCTCGGCACGAATTGGAGTGATATAGACTGAGTCTAAGGGGGAGACGGTGTGGGAGTCGAGAAAGCCTAGGAGGCGGAGACCAAGGACCTGAGCTGTTGCATGATCCCCACGCTCGCCGGCGGCTTCCGCTCCGAACAGAAGAGAGTGTAGATGACGGAGATTCTCCCGCACCTCCGCCCTCCAGTTCTTCTCTTTATCCTCCATAACCTCTCTCGGTTTGTCTTCTCTATTTTATCTGTTGTGGCCTCACTTTTAAGGGTCCGTTTATATCTATGAGTAGCCAGTAAAATAAAGCCACCATAGAGAAAAAATATTCCCCTCCCTGTTATTTATGTGTTATTGTGCATTATTCATGTGTTATTGTGTCATAGGAATATTCTTGGTATTATGATAACACAATAACACATCAATAACACATGAATAACACACAATAACACCTGAATAACACGGGGAAGAATATTCCCGGTGTTATTGTGCCGTTTTTTCTCTATCGGGAATATTCACCGTGTTATTCAAGTGTTATTGTGTGTTATTCATGTGCTATTGTATCATGAGAATATTTTTGGTGTTATAATAACACGATAACACATCAATAACACATGAATAATACGCAATAACACATGAATAACACGCAATAACACATGAATAACACGAGAGGGAATATTCTCCGTGTTACTGCGCCGTTTTTTTTCTCCTATCGCGCGTGGCGTGATTTTATTGGTTGCGCACGGTATTTCTACGTGCGTAGTACTGATGTAATATTTTTTCCCGTTTGACAGGTTATTTGCTGCGCAATTGGCCTATTTGGTTAACTGCTTTTTTTACAGCTTATATTTTTTGAAAACATTGAAAACAGCGTTTCACACCTGGGTGCGGTGGCAACTTTTTATTAGCGGTCTGATTTTTCTAAAAAAATAAAAAATTTATAATAATTACCACACCTAGCTTATTAGCAAATTATTTTTAATTAACTTATTAACAGATTATTTAATAAGCTGCATCTGCCCCAAACAGACCCTAAATACCTGGAAAAGTTGGGGATCGCTACCATCGCCCAATCCCCCAAAAATCTAACCAGCAAAAATAAAACAACAAAATTATGCATTGATAAGATAAACCGTCTCGAGTATTTCTTCTTCCTCATTCCCCCACCGATTACAGCTAAATAGCTAGGGTTTGTGCTGCGAATCGTCGGTTGGCATATACTCGAGTCCCCTTCTTACAAAAAAAATGAAAGAGAACAAGCTTAAGACCCTAAAAAGATGGAAATCGCAGAGCATAAAAAGAAAGAAGCCAGAGAGCTTAAAAAGAATGAAACCGATGAGCTTACGAGTCATGAAAGATCATCCGAGTAATCTTATTTCTGGTTGTACTTGCACTCAAAATCTAGCATTGCATCGTATATCATTTTTGTGCATATTTTAAACTATTCAGAGTATCACCAAAATAAAAACAAAAATTAGTAAAAAAATAACACCATAATCTATGCTAAATAATACCATAATTTCAACCAATAACACCAAGATAATTCGATAATAAAAAAAAGTAACAAAACACTGAAATAATACCTATCTAATATCATAATATCACATCATGTGCACATGAATAACATAATAGTATTGTTGAATAATACCAAACTAACGCCACTGTAACATTAAAATAATATCAATTAATACAAAGAAGAATATTGAAACAATACCATAATAACATTGAAATAATACTATAATAATATCAATATAACATCATGATACCACCAAAACTCATAATCCTGAAAACCTTAATGAAGCCTCAATAACATTTCCATAACATCTAAATAACGTTGTAACAACACCATTTAAATACCGAAATAACACCATAATAACACCTAAATAACACCATGATACAACCAAAAACTTAAACCTTAAAAACATTAATAACGCTTCAATAACACTTCAAGAACACCTAAATAACACCCTAATAACACCATAATAATACTGAAATAATATCATAATAACACCAAAACAACATCATAATACCACCGAAATCCTCAATTCATAACCCTAAACACCTTAATAACACTTCAATAACACTTAAATAATACCTAGATAACATCACAATAACATCAATAACCAATTTATTTTTATTCTTCTTAGGTGTGATATTTTGTTGTTGTATTCATGTTTTTGATATATAGATAACAAAATGGTTATATTTTTATGCAATATATATTTTTAGGTTTGTGAACCTAAATGTCCTTCAATTGTAGATGTCATCCATCTGTTGTTGTAAGAGACGTCCTTGATGAGGTCAAGTCTGTCATATCTAAGGAGACCGGGAATAACTTGAAATTATTGAATGTAGATCATTTTTTGATCTCCCTCCGTATCCTCAAGACAATGTTCTGACACTACAAATATTAAAATGTTGGCAATATGACGAATGTTATTCAGATTGGGCGAAAGAGAGCTAAGAATGTTATCTGATGAAATTGCCCTTCTGATAGGCATGCCCAATAGAGAAGAAGTAGCAAAGTGGAAAAAATTTCTTTCTTGTGGTGTGGATGCACGACAAATTAAGAATGACATATTGAACGTTTCAGCCGGAGACTGTTCTACTCCTTTTAATGATTTGGTTTTGAAGTATTTGTTATCAAATTTATTTGTCCCTTATAGTAATGGGCTTTACACCTTTGCCGATAATGTACAGACTTTCAGCTCATTTAATTGGTCTGCTACAATATGTGATTTCCTCATTGAGCAAAACAATGAAATAGCCATTAATATAAAGCGGAATCGACCTTTGCGACATATCAATGGTTTTATTTTTTTCCTAACAGTCAATGTCTTGTATGAACCTTATAGAACTACATTTTTTTTATTCAAAGCATATTATGACTTATCTTTTCACAGCTCTAATTTTTTGAGCATACATCTTTGCTCGCCCTTGCCAATCCTGAGGCCAGACCCAGAAGGTTGAGGTGGCCAACTATTGTAAGTTGGAATTCATCGCAGATTGACATAGCCTTTAAGAGGCTCAATCCAGTACAGGTAAGTGGTTTACATCAATAACGAACATTCTCGTTATTTGGAAAATTAGACTTGTTTAATTTTTGTTATATTTATATGTTATGAGAGTTATTTGTATTTATGTTTTATCATGTGACGTTCCTGTTGTATTTTGGTGTTATTATAATGTCATGTAGGGGTTAGGATGGTATTATTTAGTTGCTCTTACGGTGTTTTTTTGTAGGTTTTAGAGAGGTGTAATTAGATGTTATTCTTGGTGTGCATATCTTATTTTGACGGTATTCTTTTTATCATATTTAGGTGTTATTTAAGTGTTGTTTGGGTCATTTAGCTCTTACTCCTGGTACATTTTTGGTTTTATTTTAGGTGTTTTCTTAGGTTTCAGTCCTATTTAATAGCTTTTTTTAGGTGTTATTTAGGTTGTACGCTTCATATTTAATTTGGGTGCTATTTCGATGTTATGTTCACATTATTATTATGTTTTTTTTTGTTGTTATTAGAGTTTTAACTACTAATGTGTTGTACTGCTGAATTAAATTATAGGTTTATGATAATTTTTTAGATTTGAAAGAGGATAAGCATCATTTGTTGGCCAATCCAAATGAAGGACTACCCAATACAATAGTGTCATTCCCTCACCATGAAACTCACAGCAAACCACATTCACTCGTGTCATATGATGTGGGGACACTAGTCTCTGAAAAATTAATTAAAGTAATAATCGAGTTACTTAGAGCTCTGGAAAAATTTGTTTAAGGAATTTCAAGGAGCACTAAATACGATAAATACATGAGTCTCAAATTTACAAGAGACAATGTCAGAACTCAAGAGTACAATTGAAAAATCAGAACAAACAAAAAATGATAAAGGCAGTGAGTTGAGAGAAAAGCATACCCACTAGTCCTCTCCTATTGCCGAAGACAATCAATTCAACAAATATGGAACACAACAACCATCCCCTGCAAAAGGACTTAATGAGTTCAATGAGAAGGGAACCTATCAGTCATCCCTTATTGATGAAGACATTGAGTTACAAGAAGAAGGAACCCATCAGCACTCCATTAGCAGCTTAATTGAAGGGGTAAAAGGTGATGTTTTCAAGTTTAAGAAAAGAAAATCAATAAAGGATGATGTTGAGCGACATCCCTCAAAATTTTTTTTGGATACTCTAGCCATAAGGACTGAGGAGTTGCTTGTACATACTGAACCGATAGTAGCGTCGATGTACATATTCATGGCGAAAAGGGATAGCAAATAATAACAAAATATGTAGATAGTTCAACCATTGCAGAAAAAACCAATAAAAGCCCTTGGTGATGAAATAATAATAACTGTTGCTATAGATAGTCAGGCTAAAAAGGGCCTCCAACTATACATTCCATAGTCACTATGGAAGTTCAACCAATAACTGAACTTGCTAACACTTAATCCATTGAAGATGACCAAGTTCAAGAACATTTTAAGGGAGTGGATGAGACAATAAACAGTTCAACCTTTAGCCCTTACATTAACTAGTTTAGGAGATCAGCGAGAAATTGTTCATTCAAAGAAATATGCGTTAGTGGTATGATTAAATGACTTTCTGCTCAGTGTTCTTTAACATTATACATTTCATAAGTGTTGTTGTTTTGTAGTCTCATCGTGTAGTGTCGAACATCAATTTTCTTGACATATCACTTATATTCCTTGCTATGCAACGAGCGATCAATGAATGCATGTCTATGTGCACTGAGCAATGAGTACATCTTCACTCTTTATATGCAATGCAATTGTTTTATATTGAAGTGTCACAAAGATTTTGTGCCAACGTTGCAGGCATGATATTATGATTAATGATGGTGGCATTGTCCTAGACTATGGCAAAGTAACAGATGTACTACAGGACGATTGGATTGCAAATGAACATGTTGATGCCTTTGCTGCCCTTTTGAAGATAATGAATGATAACTCTTCTAATTTATACAGGTCATATCTATATGTAACGTCATTATATTGGGTAATCATACAACTTCAAGTTAATGATGCAATGGTAACTAAAATGTTCTTTATATTCTTCGTCCAACATAACATTTGTGTCACGTCTCATAGAGCAGGCCAAACCTCAACGTTCGTTAGGCATATCACAAAAGAAGAGGTAAAAAATACAAACATTATATAATTTCTTATTATTAAAATGAACACTGGATATTGCTGGTTGTGGATTTGAAAGAAAGAAAATGGAAGTTAT